TAAGTTGTGTCAGTGGTCTTGCAACAATCGCAAAATCTTTGACGTATTTTCGAAAGTAACTTGACAGACCCAAAAATTGTCGAATTTCATGTACGTTCTTTGGAATTGGGAAGTCCTTTACTGCTGATATTTTTGCAGGAGCTGGGCGCACGCCTTCTTTGTTGATTTCATGGCCCAAGTACTCAATAGTCTGTCTAAAAAAATGGCACTTCGACAGCCGTAGGGTTAACCCAACACGTTGAAATAGTTGCAAAATGGTTTCAAGAGACTTCAAACCTGATGAAAAGTCAGTAGAAGGAATCAGTATGTCATCCAAGTATGCAAGAGCGATAGTAAATCTCAAAGATCCTAAAATTTGATTAACCGTTCTTTGAAAAACTGCTGGAGCATTTGCTAATCCGAATGGCATCCTCGAGTACTCGTAGTGTCCATCTGGAGTTATAAAAGCAGTTTTTGCCATGGAATCTTTTGCTATTGGTATTTGGTGATATCCGCTGGCCATGTCTAAAGATGTAAAGTATTCGCAATTCTTCAATCGTTCAAGATGATCATCAGTTCGAGGGAGAGGGTAGCGATCTTTTAGCGTTTTCTGATTTAAGGCTCGATAATCGACGCACATTCTATTTGTTCCATCCTTTTTCTTGACTAATAAAATTGGACTCGCGTAAGGAGAGTTGGACTCTTGTATTATACCCACTTTCAGTAGATCTTGCACAATTTCTCGTACCAAATCTCTCTCGCTCATTGAAAGACGGTAAGGTCGATACGTCACAGGCTTGGAGTCTGTCAGCTGGATACTCATCTCAGCACCTTTCACACAACCCAATTCTTCTATTTTTTCAGCAAAACAATGTCGATATTTATTGAGTAATACTAATAATACTTTTTTATCAGTATCACTCAGAGAAAAGTCACAATCAATATCGTCTAAGGTAAATGGTCGATAATCATTAGCATTTAAATGGAGTACTCTTACCTCATTTCCCTCGAAATCGTCATTTGGTAAGCATACCTGGCCTCTGGCTATTACTTGTGAGCATTTAAATGTCATGTCAGAATCAGACATGTTGAAGATGGGTAACCTTCCACTCTTGGTTGAAACCACGCAGCTGGGAATCGAATATTCAGCAGATGGCACCATTCGACGCTGGAGATCCACAAATAGTTCCCCTTGATAGTGGTCGTCCACATGAAAAGTCACATGACCAATATGATTAGCCGGAATCGTAACCTGCTTATCCACGAACATTTTGATTTTACTGAGCGGAAGGCTATCTACTTCAGGTAATGGCAACAATTGGGATTTAAATAGCCGCACTTTTTCATTTTTTACGACCAATACTACATCAGGATGGTTCAAAACAGTTTGTCCTATCATGACAGATACACCCTGTATATTGTCAGAAACAATGAGAGCCGAAACAGTCACATTTATCAAATCGACTTCAATGTTCATTTGTGCGGTTCCCAACGCATATGCAGTACCGCCGGCATAGCCACTTATTCTTATGTTGCAGGGCGGCCATTTAATGTTGCATTTTTCAGCAGTGGTTGATCGAATAGTAAGCACAGCACACCCTGTATCAATAAGTCCGTCACAGGAAACTCCATTTACTTTACAAGTTACTTGGTAACATTTTTCAAAGTCTTGGTCTTCTGTTTCGAGAGTCAAAGCTGGTTTTGAAGTAGATGGCCGGTTTCTGTAGCAATTTGCTGTAGTATGACCCAACTTCTTACATATACTACATTCAATCTTGGCTTTCGTGCAGTCTTTATAAACATGCCCCCTTTGCTTGCAATTGTAGCATTTGAATTTGAGGTGCTCTGAGCTGCCGCCACTGACTGGTTCTCTGATGGTAGGAATAGTTTGGTGTTGGCGATCACTATTAAACTTTTTTTCAAATTTGTTGAAGTTGATCAAGTGTCGCGGGCGTTCTGAAGTGGAAACTAGAGCTGACAGATACTCTTTAAATAAGTCTTCGGGTTTACTGTACCTGCCTGCTTTTGCACCATTTTGTATGGCACTGTCTTCAATGCCATCGATTAACATGGCTACAGCATTTTTGCCTCCAATCTCACAGGCACGCAATAACTCCATTTTAGTGAAATAGTATTCAGTCCATGTTTGTTTAGGCGTCTTCGACAAATTAATCATTTTTTTCAATGTTGCTGGATAATCGTGTTGGTCTGGAAACGCATTAGTAAGCATAGTTTTCCATTCATCCCAAGTGTGATCATAAATATCCAAACTGTTATACCATGACTTTGCCAACCCTTTCAAACGAGACTGCATATGGTATACAGTCAATGTGTCATTCCAGTTATTAATTGATTTCAACTGATCTATTTTATTTACCCACTTTAATGCACTCATGCCTAATGAGTCTGGATAAAATTCGGGAATACAATCAGAACGAATCGCTACTTGTGGGCCAGTGAATTTTTGATTTAGAAGCTCTTTTACAACGTTTTGTAAATCTTGAATTTTTTTGTTTTGGTCAGCAAGTAAGTCAGTTCTATTGTCTAAACTATCACTTACTGTTGATACTCTAGGTGGTGATGGCGTGTAGCTTACAGTTTCACAAGACAAAGAACTTTTCTTTGTTTTGTTCCGACGCTTTGCTACCGATTTCCTTTTGTATCGCCCATAATCAGTGCTCTCACTCTCGGAAGATGTCGATGACGATGACGAAGACGACTTACGCCTCCTTGTTTTTCCCATCGTGAAATACGCCACTAACACAAAGAGAAATATCCGAAATCAATCTCTATAATCACGAAACACTTTATTTTAATCCAAAACACACTGATTAATCAAGTCTCCTCGAATAGAGCGTAATTATCCCGCCGCTGCTCTGTTAACTAACAAAATTTGTTCCAACAAAAACACAGTTCTCCACAAAAATACGTATATTAAATAATCTTAAATGTCAACCGCCCGATTTAACATTCAGAAGACAACTACCTGGGTCTCAATTTCTCAAGACCCTGCCAACCTTATCCTATTATGACTTTGCTATTATCTAACATTTTTCGAAGGGTCCCTGAAGGGGTTTATTGCATCCTTTTATGGTACGGCCTCTGTGGTGGCTTCGTCACCCGCATTCTTTAGAAATTGCTTATACTATATTTTATTGTCTTGATAAAATCTTCCTTTCTCCCCTCTACCCAAAAATAGGGAATCGCTTGATTTCTGATTTCTGAACCCCCTTCAAAACTTCGGCTAACTAAGATCTTCACAAAAAAAAAATAGGTGTTTAAAATACCAGATATTATATGTACAGTGTCATTACTTAAGTGTGCAACATATGGGATTTTTTTTTAGTAATAGCACAATCAAAATACAAAAAGGCCAAAAGTTGGTGCATGTCTGATAATCATATTAGGTGCACTTAGAATGGTTGCAAGTCAAACAGTATACAGGGTGGCTCAAAAAATATCAAAATTTTACTAATATTTACTTAAATAAAATAAAAAATTTTGCACTTTAAGGAGAGTTTTTTTAATATGGCTATTATCATTAGTAATGTTTTAACTTATTAAAAAAAAAATTGCGACATTTTAAAGTTGTGTTGAATATCATTGCAACAAACATAAATTTTCTGATCCCATAAAAAATTAAAAATCTAAGTAAATATTACAAATATGCTTGAATTTGAACAAAGTTGTATAAAATTGATTTGGTTTTAGTTAATTTTTGAAAGTATTAAGGGCGGAAATAAAAAATAAAAAAAATATAGAAATTATAGATTTTTTTCGAAAAAAAAATAAAAAAAAATCTTAGGAGGCTATGCTTTGGTACTTAGCCATAACTTTTAATTCCAAACAACTTTTCTCTATAAAATTTTGCTGAATTTTCTAAAATAAGGGTACTTTACAGTACAGCTTTGATATTGATTGCGCTACCCTGTCTGCTATTTGACTTGCAACCATTCTAAGTGCACCTAATATGATAATCAGACATGCACCAACTTTTGGCCTTGTTTGTATCTGGGTTGTGCTATTACTAAAAAAAATCCCCATGGGTTGTGCTATTACTAAAAAAAAATCCCCATAAGTTGCACACTTAAAAAATCACCTGTATACAGTGTGTCCAAGATAAGGATGGGATACGAGGTACAATGTTGGTTGAAATAGCAAAAAGTTGCGCAATTTAACGCTCAATAAAATGGTGCTTTGCACTGCTTTGACATTTGAAAAATATTTCAAGATATCCGGATTCTTTTATTTTTTTTTCCTGAGCTCATTTGAGGAGATGTTTCAAAAGTATTGCACTTATTCGAAAAATTTATTTCATTGGCACTTTCCATAAGAACTTGATGTGTTAGAGGGAGACAGAGTTGAGAATTTTGGTAGGAAATTACTAAAAAGGAAAAAAAAAAATTTTCTCGAATAAATGCGACAGGTACGTCATAGGTTTTGGGACATCAGAAGCTCTCAAAATCTGAAATAGAAATTCAAGGGCCGTATTTAAAAAAATTATGTTGATGATGGTGGCCCAAAGACGGAACGTCAGATTTTATATTTGAAAATGTTATCTTGTAGAGTAGAAAAAGGTTGTTACGATGAAGTGACATTTATTTTGAAATATCTCCTCATATAAGCTCAGGAAAGAAAAAACGGCTTTGCAAAATTTCGGTTTTTTCCAGATATCTCGGAAAGTGACGAAAGTGTTCCGAATTTTTCAAACGTCAAAGTTCCATTTTATTGAGCGTTCAATTGCGCAAGATTCTCCTAATCTAACCAACATTGTTACTCCAACCGTTCTCCAGATCCTAATGCTATCCCATTATGTCGAAACAAAATAAAAAATATAAAACTGAGTTAAAACAACTTTACGTGTATTAGACAGGAGGAGTTTGAGCGCCTTTTTATCATCCTGATTTTAGGATTTCCATTCATAAATTTGTTCTTGCTTGTTTTTGCCTCCTATATATCACCCAAGTCAAGAATCTTGTAAAAAAGATATTTTATTGTATTTTTTATTTTTTTTTTCGCAGGATACCAGGACTCACGTGCTCATAGAGCTCTTTGACAATGAAAGAATCTACGTAGAGTCTCTCGAAATTATTGTTTTGGTAAGTATAAATTTTTTGGAAGGAAGCAACGTTCACAATAAAATCAACTTTTCTGTATTAATTATTAATTTCATCAAAAAAATAATAATTAGGCTTAGGAATCCATTTCCATGATATGATAATAATAACTAAGTGAACGATCCTTTTGGTAAGCTACCTAAATATTTGAATAAGCATAAGGTCGGCGTCACACAGCCGGAATGTCTTTCTGACGTCAGAAACGGAAGGAAAACATAAACATAAAGGTCCTACATGCAAATGTCTGTTCTCTAAGGTATAAAACTGATGAACTTGAAGCTTTTATTGCGGACAAGCAAATAGACATAATCTGCCTAACAGAACATTGGATATCAGAGAAAGAAATGACAACCGCCCAACTTCAGGGGTACAGGCTAGCTACGTTTTCAGCTAGATTAAAGACCACTGGAGGAGGAACTTGTATTTTTATAAAAGACTCCATTAGTTTTGCCACTATAAATTTTAGCATTAATTTAAATGTAGAAAAGTGTATCGAGTATTGTGGAGTTTATGTAAGATATTTTAAAATTAACGTTTTATATCGTAGCCCATCTGGACCATTCGACACTTTTTTGGCTTTCCCTGGATGTAGTCCTGAATCACCTAGGTATCGAAAAGCAAGTCATTTTAGCAGGCGACTTTGAAGCACCCCCTTCAAAGTCGCCTGCTAAAATTACTTGCTTTTCGACTGACCCAAAAATGAAAGTTTTAGTGCAAAAAAATCTAAGAATAATTATTTAAACCGCGTCTTGCTACGATGAACCGTTTTCGAACATTATGCCCCCTAACCTATTTATTTGTCCATTAGGGATAAATACCCGGGTATTTGCCCATCACACATCACAATAGGTAACAAGGTCTGGTCTTTCCACGTACCTACGCCCGCTACTGTGCATAACTGAAACAAGCAATCAATCAGAATCTGAGCTGCGGCTGTGTGAGTTTGTATATTTGAATTACATGAAAAAACATGCGTTCTGAATTCAGATTCTGATTTCCGTTTCTAAATTCAGAAAGACATTCCGGCTGTGTGAGGCTGGCAAAGGTATTTTCAGAAATGGCAATTATAATTTAACTCAAGACGGAATAGGTATACTCAAGCTCCGTTGAGCTGCCCCCCCCCCACCGCATTGATTTTTTTTTTCAAAAGGCTAGCACGGGATCGTTAGAGGTAGCACAACCTAGTACAAGCTAATGTAGAGCTAGCATAGTCATTGTAACAAAAATACAGGTATCCTAGTTAGTGCGGGGGGGGGGGGGGGGGCAGGTTAATGGTTAATGCTAGCCTCCCTTCATTTTTTCAAGGCGCCATAAAGCTAGCACAGCTTCTTTGGAGCTAGCACAGGCTAGCACAATAAAAAATAATGCTAGCACAACTATTCGTTTTCAGAAAATAGAGATCTCATGCGTAGGGGCTAACTCATTGTTTGGGATTTTTTTGAGGTTGGTCATAAAAACTGTTATGGAAGCTTGGTTGATATCTAGTACAACCTAGCACAACCACTTTTAGATCAATCAAAGTTTGTGACCAGTATCAGAAAGAACCGAAGTTATCTCTTAATTTATGCAAGGGTCAGGAAAGTTAAGGAACGGTATAGCCTTCGTTTCCCGTTTTCACGTCGGTGTAATGCTGGCACAGCTTCGTTTGAGGCGTTTGAGCTACCACAGGCTAGTACTTACAACAACAAAAATTCTAGCACAAGTGTACTTTTCAAAATACAATGCAATGGGGTGGGGGTAGGGGACTAAGCTGAGTTAATGCTTGGGATTTTTTTAGGAGAAAACTGTTTAGCTAGCATGAAGGTTGGAATCAATTGGGTAAACATTAAGTAGATAATTATTGATTTTTGATGGCTGTCCATTTTTATTTCCTACATTGATAAACGGTGTATTCTTTTATAGGCTAGCTCTCCTCTATAGCATGGTTATAACATCATAAATATTTTGTTTTTACCAACCTGAGAAAGAGTCATTATTTAATCTATTTTTCTAAGAAAAAATTTACTTTCTCTTCCTAGGCGAATAATCATAATAATGAAAAAAAAACATAGGTCAATAATGAAAATGACATCATAACGTACCAGGTATCTAGTGGTTTAATTTCAATTTCAACCTAACAACTTAAAAAATAATATATTACAAACATTTCAACAAATCAAATTTTTTATTTCCTACTAGTAGTAAAAAAAATTCTAAATATTTCTCGGTGGAAATAGTCCTTATCTTATAATTTCTCCAGCTAGGTATTATAGTAAACATGTTTAAAACTATGATTGAAGGAAATAAAACAATATTTGATGAAAATATGACATTTATTTCAATATTTTCACTTGTCACTACTGTCTGGAGACTTTCTACTAGTTTTTACTTGTGGCGTGCAGGCAGGTCAATCTGCTAACTCACATGATGCAGCTTTATATCATCATGTTTTCTTAACAAATTAATGACTTTGATACCTACAACCATTTACATATTTGTTTGCTTCCTGCCCCCCTAATCTCTACATCGCATTTGGGGCAGTATATTTTCAAAACTATGCTTGTGCTAACATTATTTTTTGTTGTATTAGCCAGTGGTAGCTCAAACGAAGCTGTGCCAGCATTGAACGCACTTGAAAACGGACGAGGAAGGGTATAGCGTTAGCTTTCCCCACCCCTGCATAAATAAGGGGATAACTTCGGTTCTTTGATTGATCTAAAAATGGCTGTGCTGAGTTGTGCTAGCTATTAACCAAGCATCCATAACAGTTTTCGTGAGCAACCCCTAAAAAATCCCAAACGTTAAATTAACCCCCCCCCCCACATTTGATCCCTATTTTCTGACAACGAATAGTTGTGCTAGCATTCTTTTTTGTTGTGCTAGGCTAGCTTCGAAGAAGCTGTGCTAGCTTTATGACGCCTTGAAAAAATGCGGAGGGGCTAGCGTTGACCTGCCCCGCGCCCCCCTTCCCACGCAATTACCAGGATATTTTTTTGTTACTATGATTGTGCTAGCTCTTCATTAGCTTGTGCTAGCTCTATCGACCATGTGCTAGCGTTTTGAAGAAAAAATCAATGCGTGGGGGGGGGGCAGCTTAACGGAGCTATATAATAAGTAAATTTTCTAATGTAGGTAATCATTTGCAGAAACCACTGAAACCGATATACATTTTGTACATAGTGTACCGTCGCCTGTTTGTTCAGGATGTAATTACAAAATTAATTTCATATTATAAATGGAAGCTGAAGTGTCACTTTCATAATCAGTTTCAAAGTCAAGTGATTTTAACATGTTGTCATTTCAATTTAATTTTTAATTTCACTCTTTCATGCTGGGATGTATTTTATTTTGAAGTTATGTAATTGTGAAAGTTGTCCCTATCTCGCGGAGTTTAATGACCATTATATTTAGATATTCACATTAAAAATTACTTTCAGAACTATTGGGAACCCCTCAAAAAGACTGAAAACGCACTGGTAGAGCAAAACTTAGTAGAAGAAATATTTTCCCAGGTACCTACAAATAAAATTTTTAGAGAAAGGATACTTAATTTCGGATAACTTCACAATTTTTTTTGTAACATTCAATTAAATCAATAGGTTGGTAGGTACCTATGTTTCTTTTGGCGGTTGAAAAAAATGGCTGCCTAATTTCGGATCGTGCAATTTTATTTATTTTTTTATTTCGGACGCAAAATTTGTTTTTTTTTCTATTTCAATAGTTTTGCGTCAGTTAGTTTTGAAAGATTAAAATAATTTTAGGTAGAGGATACTAATTTCAAAATTTAGAGAATAAAAATAAATCGCAAAGAAATTTCTGAAATACAAATTGCTCAGTTGTGTCAATCGAGAATAATTGCAGCTACAAGGATAGGAGTTTTCGAAATTAATGTCTTTCACACATGGAATTTGCATCCCCAGACCATTCCGTAATAAATAGAACTGAAGTTGTAGATGCACACTAGTAATAAATAAACAAAACCGCTAAATACTCGTTTTGGTCGTTTTATAAACTCGAGTTTCACGATGCCATCGCTGTTCGAGTTGCCGTTGTTGTCAATTATGAGTTTAGAGGCAGGAAGGGATTTATTACCTTTAATAATAATCCGCTAGTTGGTAAGAATTGGATAAGTCCAGTTATGTCCGAAAAGGTACTTGGCATCGCTATTGAAAATATAATACGCATAAAATCAAAAAACTCCAGAAGACACTCATAAGTTTCAGCAAAGACTTTGGTTTGAGTCAAAAAACATTTCATGAAGGCCATGATATCTGTCACATTTGATTTTTTTTTTCCAAAAAGTTGCAAACTGCGGGAATTTTTCTCAAAATTTCAATAAACACCAGGTTGGCCAAAGCTCTTCACAATGCAGAGCTTTAATTCTGTCCCTTTTTCAGCTTTTTTTCGATAACTAAAGAAGCACCCGAGAATCTAAATTTCTCATTAAAAGCTTAATAAAAGCCAAATTTTTATATGAGCCTCGATTCTTTTTTCCACGTGCTAGGTTTATAGGCCTGCACATTTGCTTGACAAGAATTTGGCAACATAGGTACCTACATCATGTTGGTAGATTAGTACAAATTGAAAGTAAAGTCGCCGTGAATGATTTTTTTTTTGCGTGATTTTAATTCCCCGAAAATAGGAGTTATTTACCTGATTCCTGAAACCAATTATTGTAATTAATTACCATAATCGAATAATTTCCAGCGATGTGATTGCTCGTTTTTTCGAATCTCACACAAAAGGCAAATAACTTGGATTCAGATGGCTTATAAGGGTATCGTCAATACGGGAGAATGGGTAGCTGTTTTTCTTCATAACGTGGTTCAGCCTTCTATAGTCTACACAGAGCCTCGTGGAACCATCTTCTTTATCAACTAGTACAATCGGTGGTGATGACCATGGACTAATAGGATCATCGCAATGATATCCGCCTCGAGCATTTATTGAAGTATGGTGGTAACTTGGTGTTGGTTTGCGAAAGAAAGCCTTTGTGTTGGTTGGACTTAAATAGGTATGGCACTGTATTAGTCCGTTTAGTACTTTTTTAATGCACAAAGAAGTCATGCTTTTCTTTCACAAAATGAATGGCTTCTTTTCTTGTCAACCTGAAAACTCAACTCTTGAAGTTCTCCATCAATTCTACAGAAAATGTTGGTCCAATTGACGCAGACTTCTCCTCTGCATATCTCACCGCCGCTGACTTTCCTTTCTCCAATGTCACCCGGTTTGTCGTCCGATTGAGAAAAAAAAATGCTGGAGTTGACTAAGCTGTATGCCACAAGGGTTTCATTCTGCCTGTTGTCCGTTGGTTCCGCTACCGGGGTATTCAAGCCTTCACTGAAAAAACAGCTCCCCTTACCTCAAGGTATTCAGTGATCTTGAAATAAATTATCTTATATGAAGAGTTAATCTACTGCACGAAGAAAAATTTCTTTGTGTTGAGAATTTCGTGGTTCTTGATATTTTTTAAAATTACTCTTGAATGACATTTCTTTCAGGCGAAATTATATTCTCTTATACCAAGAATAATCTTGTATTGCATAATTGTTAAGCTCCTTGTTATTTGGGCCAAGAATCTTGTTTTTTGATGGAATATTCCAAAATCTTATTCAAAATTCAAGTTTCTGCCGATACCCTCCAACCCAGTTGTGTAGTGCTAGCAGTATAGTGTAACGTGCTTCCTACGACCTACTCGAACGTGTGACTACTTTTTAATGTGAACAGTTATATCCCGTTTCCTATGGTGTTGCCCAGGATATCAGTGCGTCAACGTCAGGGGACCAAAATTATCTTGCAATCCAGTTTGGAAAATACTTGTGATGGTCCCAATACAAGAATTTTTGGAGGCAAACAAGTTGTTCCACTTGTTGGAAAAGTTTGAAGGTATATAGTATAATGTAAATTTTACAAGTAGTAGGTATACCTAATAATTATGTTTCCAATTTAGCAGTTTTATTTATTTAAATTGTAATAATATAATGATTTTTTAGTCAGTGGGCCAATATTTTGTAAAAATTGTTTGAATTCTTAGGTTAATAAATATTTACAAAAATAAACAAAATCTGATGTTTCTTTATGACCAATAATCCTATCATCAAATACCTATGGATTTTAGGCAAAAAATTCTCATCTTCACTCAAACGCTGATGACCTCTAGTGAAAAAATTGAGATCTTCAGCTAAGTACTTTGATCTTCAATGGAATCGAATAAATTTCTTGGAACAAGAAAATTGGAAAATTAAGTACCTTGGGACAAGGAAATTGTGTTCAATACATTGGGATAGTGTTCTTGAGCCAAGAACTTATTTCTTTCCAGTAAAGTATTCGAACAATCCTATGACAAGAAAACATTTAACTTTTTTGAAGAGAATATTCACTTGGCCATATCCAAAGTCGCAATTTCATTGAATGAAGTGCGTATTACTTTGAATTGAGGAATCCTTTTTTTCAGTGTTCTAGCTGTCCCTCTAGGTGTGATTTTATGATTGTCTCACTATTTCCAGGATTTCGTCGACTTATTTTAACTTGGCAGTCCTTATTACTTGTCGCTGATAATAATTTTTTTTTCCTTGTCCACCGTCAGCATTTCATTTGTGTCCACTGATCGGTAATCGAAGGTTTCTAGGACACACACGCATGTCAGCATCCATTAATTCTATCTTCAACTTGGTGCTGCGGATTGCGGATTCCTAATGTCACGGTAGTCTCTCCAAAAACATCTATCAAACCTTTAGCGGCTTCTAGTAGCGACTTAATTCTCAGAGTCCTTGAAAGTCAAGGCGTATCACTGATTTTGATGCCCCTGTATAGATTGTCAATTTCCTCGCGGTGAAGGGCAACGAGATACTCTGCACGCAATATTTCTATAGTATCGTTTCTAACTAATGGAAAATATGTGCCTCTGTGATTGGGCTGTCCTCAGAAATCTTAACTTGTCTAGTCTTGCTTCATCTATTGAACGAGGCATTTTTGGCAACCCCATATTCCAACTCATGGACAACGGTTGCTGCAGACCTTTATCTCTCTCACTTCATTAATGAAAGACTGGAAATTTATTTGTTAAGTGAAGTCCTCGGATGCTTGGTTATATGCCTAATTCCTGCAGCTTCTCTGATAAGCCTTGGACTCTGCTTCGCGTGATACCCTAACTGAGCTCCAAGGCGCCTACAGTTTGTTTCACCTCAGGAATAGTTTGATGAAATTGGAGCGCCTTTCCCCGTAGTGCCAAATGCAATAATAATAGTCTATACATGGATCAGGAATTTTCGCCGTTATAGGTTGGTGCTTCCAGTTGGCCGCGAACGAGAGTACACACCGACATAATTATCTATTCTGCTGCCGCTTTCATCGTTGAGTTCATTGCGAACACTTTCTATTTTCATCTCCAGTTTTCTATTTTTCTCCTCAAAATTTGCGCGAACCGTCCCTATTTGGCAATTTTACTCGAACTGTTTCTATTTCGTCTTTGACTTTTTGTCGAATGTTCTAGAATAATCTGGCGATCCTCTCAATATCTTGCTCTCTTTGTTCCCATTCTCTCCGTTTGTCTTTCAGTCGCCTATTCTCTTGTTCTTGCAGATTGTTCTTTCTGCTCGATTTTCAGTCGCTTGGTTTTTTGGATGTTAAGGAATCACAGCAAACGACGTCGACACCGAAGCAGACAAAGAAAGTACGCTTTAATTAAATAAGACATATTTAGGATTAGAAAGAAAAGAAATTAAACATTTGTAATAATTTCCAAATAGATCAATTACTGGAAAGTCATGGAACAACATCATAATAGTTATTATAATGTAATTAATTTTCGGAATTGCCTGTAAACCACGCCACATTGCAAAAACGTCTTTTCACAACGGAAATTTACATCGCGGTAGTAATGCACGCTTATACCGCATAATTATAAAAACGAAGATCCTGTTGGTAGGATTGTCCTTCTACCACTATTAGAAAAGCCAGGTGAAGCCCATCAGCGCCTGTTTTTTTGTATCTATGGGAAGCCCTAGAATTTGTTTTCTTTGTTTTTATTTTGACGAGATACAGATTTTGTTCACCTCGGCAAGACAACGATGATCATTTTAGGAAGCTAGATAAGATTGAGCAGTGGGATCAGTGCTGGTCCTAATTGTGCCTATCTGGATTTGGCGTCGCTAATTTGAATTCTATAGGACTTGTTTCTTTTAGGCACTATATCCCCATGAGTCATGACAGACCCGGTCAGAGGCCTTATTAATGTTCAATACACATGTAAAATTTTACACGAAAAGTTGCCTATATAAGGCCCTACCAGTTTGTGTACATTTCACATCAAGGTTTTTGGTAAATTTGACAAGAATTCGCGTGCACTATTTACACAAAGCGGCGTTAAACATCGCCAACGGAAAATTGTTCGAAGACTCAAAAATAATTTATATTTCAAAATGTTATTTTTAAAAAGGTTTTTCACGTTTTTGGTAGATTTATGTCTTCGAGGGTCTTCTTTTTGAAATTCAGCGAGCGGAGCGAGCAATCGGAGACTTAGAAATAATTTAAACAAGGTCTTACATTTGAAAAAGGTTTTCCACGTTTTTGGTGGATTTATGCTTTTGAGGATATTCTCTTTGAGATTTGGCGAGAGCAGTGAGCAATCGAAAACTCAAAAATAATTTAAATTTCAAAACGTTATTTTTAAGAAAGATTTTTCACGTTTTTGGTAGATTTACGTTTCCGAGACAAGCTTTTCTTTGAGATTGGGCGAGCGGAGCGAGCAATCGGAGACTCAAAAATAATTTAAATTTCAAGGTGTTATATTTAAAGAAGGTTTTTCACGTTTTTGGTAGATTTACGTTTCCAAGGCGTATACATTTATTTTTCGAACAATTGTCCATTCGAACAATTTTCTTTTCGAAAAATTTTCCGTACGAACAATTTTGCGTTCGAACAATTTTCCTTTCGAACAATTTTACGAGACTGGTCGAACATAATACACCATGATTATCATGTAACTTTTACACTATGTTATGTTGAATATATACACACTACAGTGTACGTATTTTCAAATATGCGTGATAAATTTACATAAAACAGTGTTAAATAGAATACACCGAATCGTGTTAATGTACAGGGTGTTCCAACGACGACGATGGTACCAAAAAATCATTTGAACCAAAAACCAAAGAGTTACGCCATAACTGAACTGTTTTTAAATGAAACACCCTGTTTTTTGTATTATTTTTAGATAAGTAATATTTTTAAACTCTATTCTGTTAAAAATATTTGATATGCCGATAGTTATTTTTATTTAATTTTGATGTTTTATCCTTTTAATTATTTTAGCTTAACCTGTTTAATTTAATTGTTTAAGGTGATCACCTTTCGTGACAACCCTATTACATTGAACAGGTTAAGCTAACAGTATTAAGGATAAAACACTAAAATAGCTATTATCGGAATATCAAATATTTTCAACAGAATAGACATGAAAATATGCGACTTTTCCAAAAACCTCACAAAACACAAGGTGTTCTATTTAAAAAACAATTCATCCATGGCGTAACTCTTTGGTTTTTGGTTCAAATGATTTTTTCGGTAGACAACGACAAACGAACATCGCCCATCCCATCAGCATGCTTGGAACTGACCACGATCACACAAAAGAAGCAGAGGACGGAGGGCTTGACCCGGCATACTGTTGGGTGTATAACCGTTCTTCTACCTTGTAAATTTAAACATTTTTGGAGTTCATTTAATGAAATTGGTGTAAAAAATTAAACATTGCCGCGTAGAGTAACACGGAACCAGGGCCTAACTTTCATTTGACACTCTATTGTGTGAATTATCAGTTTACCAAATTACTGTTGGTCGAGTGGACGGCACTTTACGAATAATGGTGCTTAGTTTTTACACACAACGCGTTTAACACTTTGTCGTGTAATTGTAAACAGGATTTTTTTCACTATGTAAGACGATGCCATTCGCGTTTCTGTACTTCAAGCCATTCGTGATTGTTTTGACTGACCACAACTCTTGGAGCTCGATCGTGCAACCTCGTCTTGATCCGAATTGTTCGATAGGAATTATATTTTGCTCCTTGGTTTTCGGAGGCAATCTGCTTTTGATAGGTCTCTCAATTAATTTGCCCAGGGCAGCTAGGTAGTTTTGAAAGAATTTTTTTTAAGACAATCTCCTCTTCGCGGAAAATGAATAAAGCTTAACACCGCGCTGCCGCTAGCTGTAATAATTATGAGCATTGCTTTGTGAGGTAGATTTTTTTTTTGTGATTTTTTCTCTTCTTGGTGACTTCCCAGGTTTCAGTGCCGGATCTCGTTCGGTGTCAAGTGTTGCGGCGAGAAATTTCATATGCGAGTGTTGTGTTCTCCCTTAGTAGATCCATGAAGGCCCTGGGGGTGTCTCCGTAGGAAAATATTCACGGGGTTACTGTTTTGTTTTGAATTTTTCTATCAACTGCTTACCTGCTTCATTTACTCCATTATTTTTTCCATAATTTTTAATTTGTTTTATTATGTTGAGTGTTTGCTTTTTGACAGTTCGACTTGATGGCTGTAATTATCGTAGTCAATAAATGCTGTGCAAAAGAAATTCAAAAAGTTGACACACAACTCAAAAATCAGACTTATGAAATATTGATGTTTTCATTATCTGAACGGAGGTTCCACTAGTGCTATTGGAGAGATTGCTGCCTTCTGTTTGGTGATTGAACTTAGATTAACTAGTTTTGACAACTTTAGAAATGTCCCTCTATCCAGAATGAAATTTTCTTCATGTTGCTCACTACGAACCAGAACAATAATTGCAAATCACTAAATGTAAATTTGTCGACCTCTTAGGTTGAAAGAATCAAAAAAATGAACTATTTATTTGAATGTCATACTAAGGTTCAAAATACTTGGTATTATGGAGTATCCGAATACTAACTGCCTATCTAAGGTGACTATCCGAAATAACGTAACTTTTCTCTACTATAAGGTAACATATTTTAATAGAATCGCAGAAATATTCAATCGCCAATTAAAAAATGATATTATGGATATATCAACATAAGGCTAATATTTTTTATGCTTATCTGTGTATGATTAAAAAGTCAGCAAAATCTATTTTCCGCAGAGCGCAAATTTCATTCGCCAGCAATTACCGCTTGGATATTTCTGAATGTTATTGATTTTTTTTTTATCCGTATTTTTACTAATGAGCTTCATGGATTTTTTTTAGGTACCTTTTTTATTAAATCATCACCGTAATTTTTTATTGAAATTGAAAGCCCGTCTTGAAACATGTGAAAGCCGAGCAACGATAGGAGATGTATTTTTAGAAATGGTGAGTATTGAATTCATCCCCAACAAATAATATGCATTCGCCTGATCGATCTTATTCGTCTTATTACATTAACTTTTTGTTCGAGTACCCAATTTTATTTTTATAAAATCATTCATTTATTTTTCTAGCTAGCAGTTCCAGATTTAATTGAGCATTATGTCAACTACGTGAATAATTGGAAAAGATCTAGGGATATCATTAAAAACGCTCAGACTGCTAGACCTCAATTTGCGAGGTTTTTGGAGGTAATAATTGATTTTCTTGTACTTTACCTAAAGACTAGTAGAAAATGTAATATTGCGGGTTTTGAAATGTCATATCTTTTTTGTTATAGTCTGCATCGAAAAATAACGTTAAGAAATTAGCGCTGGATTCACTGTTAATTAAGCCAATTCAAAAATTTCCAAAATACGAATTACTTCTTCAAAGACTGATAAAGCACACTGCTGAAGATCACCCTGACTTTGAACTTTTAAGTAGAGCACAAAAAGAAGTACACGAACAATTATTAAAAATTAACTGCACAGAAAAAGAGGCTCTAGAAATAGAACAATTGAGAGAATTAGAAAACCTTATAGAAGGGGCTTTAGATTTAGTTTCTGCAGACAGACAATTTTTAAGGCACGATATGGTAGTTATGTCACATGGAGGTGGTCCGAGAAAAGAGAGGGCTCTGTTCCTTCTAACAGATCTACTTTTAATTACGGGTATTAAAAGGCGAAGTGGCACGATTACAAAAAAAACGAATTTAAATATAAATGCAACTAGCTTGGATGCTAACAAGTATAAACTTATAATGAAAGTACCTTTGGAAGATGTGGAAATTATTCGGTCAAAAGATGACAACGTACGCCAAATGCAAATTGAAGTGGACAATCTAAATGAAGACATCGATAATCTCAATAAAATCAACGATTTGACATTGAGTTTGCATTGTAATCACTCATATCTAGATGAGTGTGTTAAGGAGCTACTTGCTAACTTAAATAAACAACTGCAGCTTCAACAAAATACTGATTTGCAATTGTGCGTATTGGACCTCACTGTTTTAACGCAGTGAGTAACTTGACTTTTTTTCGTGATGGTTTTATTGAAATATTTAATAAATTTCAGGAACGGAATAGAAATGGTGTCCATTGTCTTCCCTAAAGCTGAAATACGTGCATCTTGGGAAGAAACTCTCACAGAATACAAAGCCAAATTAGGTAAGTACCACGTAGCAATGTTTTTTTTATATATCCTAATACAATTTTATCGTGCTCATGCCACGAATCTAAACTTTTACACTCCTAAATAATTTCACGATAAATATTTTTTTATAAAAAATATCTAGTATTTGCCTCAAATATTTTATCAAAAATCACGAAAAGCTCAGGTCGTGGCCGTGTTTCCTCATAAAAATGGAAAAAATCTTCCAAATTTTGTGACTAAAGCTATAAGAACTTCTCGCGTCTGAAATCTTGAATTGGCTGGAGGATTAAGTGACAATCAATTCCCCACTTATTCTTTTATTTTAAATAATTAATTTAATTGAGCCGTTTTCATTAATTAGAAGTATCTCATCAAAGACCAGCTAATAAATAATGGAAGGCCATATCTCGGACTTGAGGGTATATAAAAACGGCAAAACCAAATTTTCAAATTACAGCTGAAAATATTGTTAGACAAAAATTCTTTGAATGTTTTAAGGCAAAAAAAAAACCTAGATATTTAATGAGTATAGGTTGGTATAGGTAGGTACATTTCCACAGCGGCAGTTGCGAAAGACACTTTTCGCAAAAGTTGGTATTTTTTTTCACAGGCCTAACAAAAATAGAACCAAAATATTAGTGACGATTGATTGACGATGAAAATAAATACGATTTTTCGACCAATCAGAATCTGATTATAGTAAATAGATTATTCTCACCTAGCAATTTTGCCGCGAACTTTCATAGAAATGTCATAACTAATCAAAAATTTTAAAGATTTGGGATGTTTTTTCCATCGTGAAATGTGAATATGCGTAAAATGCTGAACAATTGTATTAGAAAATACAAGAACCATCTTGGTATACAGTATACAAGGTGAATCTGAAAGTAAAGTTTTTTGTAACAGGGTATACAGTGTTTATCAGCCAAATGGAATATATTCTATAATAAATAAATGGGGGCCTTCTCAGAAAAACGCTCAGACAAGTCAATTTTGTTTTTTTGCTTAAGATTTTTTCACACCAATTTTTTTATACAGGGTATTCGAGGAACACCTTCACCGTTATCATCAACTTTATTTTTTTAAATTGTACCTCCTGTATATTATGACATTTCTGGATTCTGCAGAAAATTCTAGACATATTTTATTTACATTATCCTATACTTATCTTCAACTATTCCGGAAACATTGATAGTTGAAAATTGAATTTTTTTGCATTTTTGACAGGCAGTAAAACCTAAGCGGTTGATTTTACAGCAAAACCGACCATACATTCTTGTTGTAGTTTTTCATAAACTATCAGGTCTTCAAAAAAAAAAAACCAATCAAAGACTGCTCTGATTACGAAAACGTACGTCGAATTATTGTTTCTTTATTGGTCAGGATTTTTGACATGACATTTTGACATTAACGTTCATTGACAAAATTTAAAAAAATATTGCTAAGACATACGTTTAAAAAACCATAGCAATCTTTGATTGTTTTTTTTTTTTTTTGAAGACCCGATATCATTTGATACCAAATTTGAATTTAAATTAGGAGATTCAAAATTTCGGTTAAATTTTAATCTCCGGTTAAATTCAAAGTTGGTGTCAAATGATAGCTTATGAAAAGCTAGAGACGTGAATGTAAAATCGGCTTTGCTGTAAAATTAACCGTTTAGGTTTTACAGCCTGTCAAAGTTGCAAAAAAAGTAAATTTTCAACTGTCACTATTTCCGAAACAGTTGAAGATAGGTATATGATATTGTACATGGAATATATCTAGAATTTTCTGGAGAATCCAGATGTCATAATATACAGGGAGTATTATTTAAAAAAATAAAGTTGATAACCGTACACATGTTCTTGGAACACCCTGTATAAATTGCTGATACACACTTTACAGGGTGTTTCAAATTTGAGCCACATCACTGGGATCTCGGAAACGGTGAAGGATACAGCGTTGGTTAAATTGGGGCAAAGTTGCGTAATTTGATGCTTCACAAAATGCCGCTTTGATATTCAGGATATTCAGAATACTTACGGATATATCCGGAAAAAACCGAAATTTTGCAAAATTGTGATGTGGCTCGAATTTGAAACAACCTGTACATACAGGGTGTTTTTCAGAATTTTGCAAAAAAATGTAAAAAACATTCACCTCTTAAGTATAATAAAACTAATAATGACTATTTTTATTTAGAATCGTGATTATGTGTTTTTATTATAACAATAACTTATCGTAAAAGTCCAGTCTGCAAAATAATATCAGATGCCACTGACTTTTTGTTAGGATGCTGTCGGTAGAAGCGTTGGTGGAAGATCCTGGAATACGGGGATACATTATTGAGATAGACGCCAAATGACTAAATTAAAAAAAAAAAAGAGTTTAAAACATATTTTGTTGTGGCTAAAGACGAGATAACATTTGGCAAGATTGAAAGGGTTGCTGATCGATAATATTTTATCTGATGAGCTTTTCCCGTAATTTGTTAATAATTCCATTACTTGCGGCAACGGTTGAAGATTTCAAGCTCCCTCCGATTTACCAGTCTCATGCCTGCTGCCTCATCGCCTAAAAGATAAGGAAGCAGGAATGACCGAGGAGTAAACTCACTTCACAAAATAGAAAAAATTTCATTGAACAAAATTGATTATATAAAAATTTACTCAGCATTTATCGAAACGTACACAACAAATCTAGCATTTAGACTGACTACAAAAACGCTCTTACCTGAACTGACTTCAACAATGCTCTTACTTAGACTGACTGTGCACTTACCAGTACGCGCTATTTATATTCTACATCGTACTGGGGATCTATCCAGAATCCGATCACGCTCTCGAGGCAATTTCGTAATAGTATGCAGCAGCGACTGACTGCAAACAAAGCCAGATTCAGAGTGACCGGCTTCAAACTAACTCGCCAAGTTAAGCTGACAAGCGTGGCATTTTAATGTCAAATAACCCCCTTCGACAAACTAGTCGAATAATAAAACAAAAGTAAACTAATCATTACCCCTGTGTGGGTAGAAACAAAAGCTCACAATCCTTTCCCGGTCTGCCTTCTGGATTCTGAGTAGGAAAAAGATCGACAAAACTGAACATTGGAAAATATAACATATAACGGAGACACAAAAATTCATGAAGTAGATGAAGCTCTGTCAAATTTACAGTAGGATATTATGGGCTAAGCGAAAGTAAAAGGAAAAGGAGAACAAAGAATAGAACTAAACTCTGGTAATAGAATATATTATCAAGTTAATATACAGTCTCTCAAAAATATATATTATATCAGACCGACTAGCGTACGCTGTACTTAAAATGAGAAAGAATATACCTGAAAATATACATACAAATATACGCTCCAACAAGCACTTATAGCGATGGAGATATAGAAAACTTTAACGAAAAAATAACGACCGCTCTAGAAGTAAAGAAATCAAGGGTTACTTACAAGACATGTTTTATTAATTTTTAACGAAAAAACGCAATTACAGTGGATGGGAAAGTCTATATCGAAAAACCAAGGAGGAAATTGACAATAGTAGGTAGGTATATTCGCTCAGCAAAAAATCTACCTAAAATGTGACCGTACTAAATCAATTCTCAACTTTTAGTGACCGGGCAAAACTTAGCATTAATAACTGATTCGAAAAAAATTTGGAAAAAAATCGGAAAAAGTAACTCCATAACATCTCAGACATAAAAAGATTGGAACAAGAAAAACAGGGATTTGAGGAGAAAAGGTTGCCAGATAAGTACAAAGGCTTTGGAAAATCAACACACTTATAGGTGAAAGAAGAATACTACCAGGACAAAAGAAAAGAAAAACAGCAAATCATAGAGAAGGAAATCATTAGAAAAATATAACAAAGAAATTGCAAGGAGAACACAAGAAAAATAAACTTGAGAAATCGATTGGAAAAATAACTAAAATATGAAATGCTTAAAGCTGCGATTCGGAATTGACAATTCAATCAAAAAAGAAACGAAGATAGAGTGGGCATTAATGTACCTATCGGTAAGGTACCTACTGTTTTATAAATAGTGGAAAGTTCGGTGAGATATGTATTCGGTTGTTGTGCAGTTTGTAGAGTAGACCTTCGTGCCACACTTTGTCGAAGGCCTTCTCTACATCTACGATTATTGGACCTGCTGTTTCCGTCTTATTGAATCTATCCGCGATTTCTTGGTATATTCTTGCCAGTTGGATCTCTGTTGATAGTTTTCCTTCGAGAGGGATAGTGGGTTTTGGAAACAGCTGTTCAAAATTTTTTCCAAGGTGTCTAGGTATTCTTCAGGGAAGTTTTTTTTCAATTACCTATTTTTGGTGTCTTCTTAGTCTTCAGATTGTGAATGATTTGTTGCAGGTCTTTTTTTGTTGTCATTATTTTCTCCTTTCTATAGGGTTCTTGGGATGAGTTGATGTTACTTGGTATTGTATATTCGTGTTTCTACGTCTGGGTCATAATTTGGGGACTCATTTCTGTTAAATTGGAGCTCTAGGGAGTCGGCGACTGCTTCTGCTTTGGCGCTTCCGTAGAATACGATGCAGTTTCTTGAAATGTGGATTGGTGGTATTTCTCGTGTGTAATTTTTGTTCAATAAGGCTTTCAGGTGCCTTTCGTCATTGGAAGTTGCGAGGGAGCTTCACCATTATTCGGTTTTGTGAATTTTAATTAAATTGTTATTGTCCTTGGTTAGTTGGTTTGCAAGTTGGTTTATGTGTGGTTTTTTTGTTAGTTTGCCTCTTTTCTCCATTCTGTTTCTGATTCTTATTTTTTCCTTTATGTGGCTAGGAAGGTTGTTCGTTTTTAGAAGGATTGAGGTGATGAATTCTTGGATAACTGACTAAATGTATTGTTGTATGTGTATTATTGGTCTGGTCTGAGGAGGCTAGGTCAATGAGGTTCCTCAGGGATCTGCGACGGAGCTTATATTGGTTGAGATGGCTTCTCCTTAATGGGTTGCAGGGGCATTAGGCGTGTCTCTTCTTTTTTGTTTGGATAAAAGAGTTTGAGTTTTTTCAT